ATTTTTCTGCATTATCTTCAGATCCATGCTTTACCTTTTGCAAAATGTATGTAATTTTAGATTGCTTGCTTCTAGTTAAAAGGTCTTTATAAATTTCCTTATATGGTGCTAAGCACTTATGAAGAATAAAGCAAGTATGGAATAAGGGAAAAACATTCGGCAACATCAGAAGCAGAAGCGTCACGATCTGGCAACATTGAAACAAGTTTCGAGAAGGACCACGTGTATCGACAGAAGGCAAGAAGAGAAAATTTACGTACTTAAGTACTAATAGTTCACGAAAATTATTATTTTCGTGAACTATTATTACTTAAGTATGTAAAAATTTATTACATTTTCTGTTGTTCGAGGGTTTTACCCAATTCTCGAACCGTGTCAGAGTGAATCCGTGCTATAAAAGTACCGTGTTATACGGGGGATGGTACCAATTCTCGAATCGTGTTAGAGCAAATCCGTGCTATAGAAGTGCCGTGTTATACGGGGGTTACCTGTATATTTAAAATTTATTTATTTATAATACTCTGCAATTTTTAGATTACAAAAATATTTATATATAATTATATACAATAAAATACATTTCATTTAAAATACATATTAAAATATTAATTTCATTTACTTTCTTATTAGAATATCTTAATTTATAAACAGAAGAAATAATTCAATTTTACAAAAATAATTAACAGAATAATAATAACATAAAAAATGTAATATCAAAAGCGCTCAACAATTAAATAAAGAGAAAAAACACCTTTTTTTGCCGAGAAATAAATATAATCGTAAAAAAACAAATATTTTCAGCCCAATTAAATGCGAGGGATGCCGAGAGCCTGCCTTTGGCATGGAAGTAGTTGGTTAAGAAATTTACTAGAAACTTGGACCAGAATTAGTACATTGAAGATTTATGTTATTTTTGTTTTATTATTTGTTTTATTTTAATTTTTATATAATCTTCCGTTATTTTTCTCTTGTAAAACAAAAAAAATTTTTGATTTAAAATTTTTATGTTCTATTCATGGAACATTTACATTCCATTTTCGTTTTCGACCTGAAGATGGCCTATTAATTGGGCTGAAAACATTTGTTTTTTACAATTATATTTATTTCTCGGCAAAAAAAGGTGTTTTGTTTCTCTTTAAAAAGTGTATACAGACATTAAAATAAATTTTACAGTAAAATCTGTTTTAATTAAAAATTTCATTTTTTTTAAAACATTTTTTAAATCAATGTTAAAATTTTATTTTAAAAGACTGTTATAAGCGTAAGACTACAAATTTCAGTTAAACTTATTTAACTAAATTGTTAAATAAAATTATTATAGTTAACAAATGTAATATATATATACCAAATATAAGATACTTTATCTAAAATGTCTTATATTTGGCATAAATTAAATTTGTCTCATTATAAATAAATTACATTCAATCATGTAGTATTCCTAAGTGCTGCCTTTTACTGATAAGTATTTTAAAATCTAAGAAACATGTAGTCATTCTAAATAAATAGAAGAAAAAATTTCTTTAGGTATTTTTGGACTATCTTGCTGATTAGATATACTAGGTAACAAATGATGGGCTTAACCTGTTCCAGGCAATGATTAATCAACTTAAATAATATATAATTCAGTACAAAAATTTGAAGTAAATTAGTTAAATGAAATCTATTTCAAACTTTTTTTTTTTTTGCTTATGATAAAATATATCAATATCTATAAAATTTAAATTGAGACAATAATATTTCATATTAACTTGTATGCAATAAAATGAAATTATCAAAATTACTTCTTAAAATAACGTCATTTCACATAAAATATAAATTAAATACAATATTGTTTGAAATATATTTAATTTTGAATATAAGAATAAACATACATTCAAATAAAATAAATATAAAATGTCTAAACTTTCCAAGAACTTATAATTCACAATTTTAAAAATAATATTTCTCTAATTTTATAAAATTAAATATCAATACTGACATTTAAATTCTAATGAGCTACATACAAAAAAGTTAGTAATCATGCCTAAAAAAATTTTTTGTGAATGAAATAGACAATACATGAATTTAAAATAACAAATATAAAAGAATTCCATTTCAAATTAATTATTACTTTCAGCTATACTGAGAAGCCACCATAAATCATCACCAATTTTTAATATTTATAAAAATAAAGATCGATACTCATTTATAGATAAGTAAAGTTTAATATTGTGTAATATTTTGTCTTTTTCATTAAAAATAAAACATTTCATCATGTTAACATTTTCTTCATAAATATTAAAATTTTAAAAAAATTCAATATTTATAAAATAGAAATTTTTGGCAAAGACAAGGCTATGTTCAATTAGATTACAGTAAAGTGTATTGATTTAACGTTTGCTTCATTAATATTTATTTTACTCTGTTTAAATTATAAAAATTTAAAATTATATTACTTTTAACACTTCAGTTCATATATATATTCAAATTTTTAAAAAAACAAAATTAGAAGATTCAGAAATATAATTCAACTGTATTGTTCATTTCCATGTTCAAATGTATTTAAAATAATATATAGGATGTATAAGAAATAACCTCAATAAAGTAAATTGCTTCATCTTATATGTAATTTAGATATAAACTTGTATTCATTTCTGATATTGCACATATCAGAAATGAAACAATGATCTGATGTTTCTCATTAGATCTTAATTGCCTTATTTACATCCCACTGTAGAAAGAGCAATATTAAATATGTAACAAAGTCAAAAATTTTTAAATGCAAGCATATCGACTTGCAGAAAAAAGCCTGATAAGCAATCGTTTTTAGTAAATAAACTATGACTTTTGATCCAGCAAAACATAAATGTTATGCTGGATCAAAAATCAATGAAGACGAGACCATGCAGCATATTATATCAGGATGTGAAAAACTGGCGGGGACTTGCTATTTAAGACGTCATAATAACCTTGTCCAGTACGTCTACTGGTGCCTGGCCCGAAAACATAAAATAGAAGTTGCTGACCAATGGTGGAAGGAAATTTTACTCCAGCCACAAGTTAAGGAAAATAGTTTGGCCAAGATACTATGGGAAATGCCTGTCCAAACTGATGTCCCTGTATCTCACAATAGACCGGATTTAATTTATGTTGATAAAAACCGTAATGAAACATTTTTAATAGATATAACTGTACCATCAGATTATAACATTGATGCTAAAGAAATTGAAAAATTGAGTAAATATCATTTTTTGAAATTGGAAGTTAACCGCCTGTGGAATACACAGACGACTGTTGTTCCAATAGTAATAGGAGCAACAGGAATAGTAGCAAAAAACAAAGAAATACATAGATCAATTGAATCCAACATTGATATTAGTATTCTTCAGAAACAGGCAGTTATATACACATCGCTTATACTCAATAGAGTGCTTGGTGATGCTATCTTTGAGGCCAATACAGCAGATCAGCAAAAGCATGATATACAGCAATCTTCAAATCTGCAGCAATCAATCATCGGATATACATCATTCATTAGTTAATCTGGATTTACCTAATACAACTTTTGATACTAGAATACAAAGCTCATCTGAAAACTTGTTGAGAAGAGAAAAAGGGAGGAGAAGAGAAACTATTTGCATGTAAAGTGCAACTAATACAGTAAGGGGGAAAATAGGTACCTTCTTTCCCGTGGGTTAGTTACAGGATGAGGTATTCTTTATTCCGATGTAATTCGTGAATATTTTATTGCAATAATAATATATCTTGCAAGTCACCATCTCGCTGTGGTAAGAGGGCTCAGTAACTCTGACGAACTATAGAGCTGTGCTGGTTGGAGCATCTGCTCCTGGTAGGATCACCTATGCCAATGAGGTGTGTGTGGAGAAATAAAGCCAAGCGTGACTGAACCCACATCTGTGGAGATTTAATCATGGTGATAACATGATCCAAATGTAATACCAGCTCAGATGTCGCCCAGATTAATAAGGTTCACGCATGCACAGGCTCACATTGAAAAAAATTTATCACTGGTCCAAGTATGGCTACTATAATGCCCACACCAGTTGTGGGAAACCAGCCTACTTTTGATGTTTCTGAGGCAGTCCAACCACAGTACACTAAGGAAGGTAAACCATGCCAATTGATGAAATGAACAAGTTCATCATCCATATTTACTGCATCACAAAACTTGAAACAGTCACATCACTTGTTTTCACATTATCCTCATTTCAGAGTCACTGTACAAAGGGTTGTTGTTAAAAAAAGAACAATTAGACATAACCTTACCACCTACAAAAATATTCCCAATATCAATCACATTATCAGGATCATCAAGACACACACACTGACAATACTGTTCCTACCATCACTATTGCTGACAATATCAACACTTCTTTACTGCCTGAAATAGATTCAAGTTTAATTCATACTTTCGCTTCTTTTCCAAGAAACACTCACTAAATTTACACACTGACCCTGCACAATTGCCATGCATTCCTAAATTCAACACTTCTAAATTAGTAGGGAAAACAGAACATTATGTGAACACTTACATATTACCAGATTGGACTCATTCTACTTCTACACTCTCAGATAGCCACACACTAATCTATGCTAGTGCAGTCACAGTAGTGACCTACCATGGACTAAAACTACATCCATAGACAGAAGCATACAAATCAAAAACCTTTCAGAAGTCTGCCTGGCAAAGAATAGAAACACAAAAATATTAGACAACAGCTATGATGGCTGACACAATATGCTAATAACAAAACAACACCTAAATTAATGAAACAACTAAAAAACTTTCAAGAAAATTAAAACACACACTAAGCACAAACAATGCACAAACAAGCATCACAGAATACATTGACATAACAAAAACTTGCAGCCAAAGCATTGCAACTCAAACATTACAAAATTTGCTTTGTACAGAAACAAAATAAATTATTCACAAATAACAAAAAACTAGTGTTGTAACGAATAGTATATTCGGCCAAGAGCGTAGCCGAATAGCCGAATATTCGGCCGAACTATTCGGCTTGATTAACGCACGTACGAAAATTGGCTCGCAAACCGCATTATGGCAAGGAACCTGCTCTCTATTGGCCCGCTGTCACTATGCTTTGCCAATCGCGTTAATTCTTGGCAGTTGTAGCCAACAGACAAGAGTATCATGGAAGTATGTGATAAATGATGATATCAAATGACCTACACTTGTAAATAACGGAAAAAGAACAGAGAAAGACCACGAAGTGAAAATGTGAAAATAAATATGAAATTGAGTTGATAACATAATCGAACAAGTCGAGGCAGCTTATTGGCACGAAATTCACGGCCGTCAATGCCAAACAATTGTTGTCATAGACTTCGGAAAGATAAATGCTTGTAATGAAAGTCACTTAGCGTGCACGGGCGAAAGCCCGGGGCCGTTCGGGCTATCAAGCTGTCTCGAATCTGTGAAATCATAACTGTGACTTATATCGACGTCCTATCTGTCTCTCTTCTCCATTATCACCAGGCTGAGTCACGTAATTGTAAAATGGGAACTCTACGACGGAAAAGTGACAAATTGAAAGTATTGTGAGCACGTATTATGATGTATGCACAGGCATACATGGATTAGAGCGATAGAGGAAAGAGAAAGGGAAGAGCAAAGACGAGCGCTTAAAAAGAAGGATAGGCAGGGTCAGACCCTCAGATGTGCGAGGATTCTCCAACGATAGACGTGTACATGTGCTGATCTTTGTAATTATAAATTGTGAATACATGTGACTAATATTATTTTCTTTTTTATTTTGTGCATGTTATAAGTTATAAATAAATATAAACAAACAACACTAACTCGATAACATTAAATACCAAAACGATTAATTTATTGTGTTTTTGTTATTTATTACTCCTGTTTTTAGGTATTCGGTCAAATAGTGATTAGATATTTGGTATTCGGCCGAATACCGAATAGTAACCGAATATTCGTTACATCACTACAAAAAACTCTTATACAGGCAAGTTTAAACAAGCCAAATCTAGTACAGGCATACCTCGACTTACGTTGTTTCAAGTTACGTTGTTTGTTAAAAAGTATATGGAAAAATAAAAATCAACTTTAAGTCATTTTACTTGACTTTACGTCTGTCCACCACAAATATTGAAGTCGTAATATCACTAGAAAAACATTTAAAGCACATAAAATCATATTACCATATATACAAATATGTACTGTATTTACAGTACATACATTCGTGAATTTAGATTACTTTTTTTCTGTACTATATTAAAAAACTAAAATTTATTTGTTTGTAAGCTTAAAATAGATTTTTATTAACCATATATTATTAAAAATGCATTAAATAGATAAAATACAGAAACGGGAATGGTAATTTACGATTTAGCCTAGTGATAAGTAGATTCGGAGACAAGTAAATTCGACTTACGTCGTTCTCCTGGAACCAATTACCAACGTAAGGCAAGGTAACCTGTACTGATTCCCAACAGAATGGCATGCCAACTAAAGAACTCACAAATTATTGGTCTTCTCTTTGATCTATTGCTGTTATGCACAATGCTGAAACAGACCGAAACAAAGAGGAGAGCAAAAACATGCAGGACACACCTAGTATGCATTGTGTTGAAATAAATACACAAGACATCCATTGAATAATGAAAAAAAGCATACAACTGAACAACACCTGGTCTAGACAACATTCATAATTTCTGGTACAAAAAAATTCATCTCTGCACCAGGAACTGAATAAACATTTAACTCATAACAAAAATCCATAAGACATGCCAAATTTTCTCACATAGGGCATCATCTACATGAAACCAAAAAACACCACCTCAAAAGATCCTGCACAGTACAGACTAATTACACATCTTCCAACACTTTATAAGATTCTTACCTCTTGCATAGCAAACAATGTACAATCATATTGATGAACACAACATTCTTATAAAATGATAAAAGGGCTGCCCATAGAAATCACAAAGATTGCAAAGAACTGCTACTCATTGGCTCTGTTATCCTACAGCAAGTTCATAAGCAATACAGAAACATACACATGGCATACACTGATTACAAAAAAGCATTTGACAGTGATGTATATCACTCAAATGATATACAAATGGAGTTTGGTGTAGACAAATGCAAAACACTCCACATTGAAAAAGAAGACTTTGTACTCAAAGTGGAAATATTATTGAATCCATGGAAAAGGGCAAATTTTAAAAATATTTAGGATTCCAACAGGCCAAACTTACATAACATGCACAGATAAAACAAAGATTAACACCTGAATACCAGATTAGATTACATGCAGTACTAAAAACACATTTAAAGCTATTAATATATATGTTGTTCCTGTACTCACTTATTCTTTTGGAGTTATACACTGGACATGCACAGATCTTAAGCAACTCCAAAAGATAAAGCAACACTAAGCATACACAATATCATCCAAAATCATCCATAGAAAGACTAACTCTTCCTCATATAGAAGGTGGCCATGGCCTGACTAATATGCACAATAAATTCAGACACTGCAGGAGTTTTTCCACAAAAAACCTTTAAACCTATAATCTGAGCACCTGGAAATAATTCAACACAACAACATAGATACCACTATGCAGTCATGGGCCCAAAAAGCACTTCATGGCAGGCATGTCTATGACCTAGCTCTGGACTACATTGACAAATCTGCATCAAACTACTGACTAAGGGCTGTGTATTTGGAGAGACTAAGGGATTTATGGTTGCCATTCAAGAACACTAAAACTACAAAACACACATCCTGAAGGATTCATCACAAAACTCTTGCAGAAAATGCAACATTCTACCAGAAACAATACAACACAACTTCTTGGTTGCAAGCTCTTAGCCCAAAACAGACTATTTACATAAGCATAGTCAAATAGCAAATATAATACACCAAGAGCTTGCACACAAACACAGATTATTAAACACCTAGGTACCAGAGTACAAATATACTCCACAGACAGTATTAGAAAATGACAGACACAAAATATACCAAGACAGAGTCATAATCACAGATAAAACAATTCATCACAATAGACCTGACATCACTCTCATCAACAAATGCAGTAAGATTGTCTATATAATAGATATCTCTGTTCCAAACATTCATAACAAAAAATGCTCACACTGAAAAAAATCTAGGCTATATGAGGAAAAAAAAAAGAGCATGCTGCCATTTGTAGACATAGTAAAGAGTTCTCCTGTTACATGGGATTAGTAGAGGCCTTCACGAAACAGCTGTGCAAATGGCGTCAGTTTGTAGGTTTACGTTTGAGCGTAGTGTTATGTTTCTCTTACTGTTATTTTTTCTGCCTGTAAAGTTCTGGGCGTCCTTCAACATCTCGAAACAATGAAAACGTTGAAAAAATCTGCCAAAAAAAGTGTTAAGATGTCTGCGAGAGGATGTGCGAAGGAAATGCCCGGAACTTTGGCAAGCAGGTGACAGGTTCCTTCATCACAACAAAGCCCCTGCACACATGGCCTTACAAGTGACCCACTGTTTGG